GACAACCCCTCGACAATATGCGTTTTTGCATTGCATAGATGCAAAAAACGCATAAAAATTTGACCGAGATGTTTGGATATAAGAGTTTTTCTGTGTCTTAATTTCTATGAAAATCGGTGAGATTTTTGTTATCGAGGATTTGCAAAATTCTGGAAGCGATGTTAATATAATCCCGGTTCATGCATTTTGGCATGTGGGGCAATTACCTTCCACTCTGGACGTTCCACATTTTGATTTCTTTGAACCGTCCACTTCTTTTAAGGTTGAGGTTTGGCCTTCTAACGGCCGCGTTTTATCTTTCTAAGGGCTTCTGTTAGGAGAGTGGTTAAGCTCGTAGTTTGTTCAGGAGACAAAATTAACTCTAGGATTGTCAACAGACTGACCATCAGATAACTTAGTATTAGTCAGAGCATCTGAAAAAGTTGCCATTTGCATAGAATGTTGAAAAACTGGGAATTAAAGCTGGTCCAATTGTTACAAGTTTATATTCTGTTTTAATTAGACAGTCGGGTTTCCCGAGTCCGTGCCTGCCAGTTCTAAGCTGACTGTTTAGCGCCGGCCGAAGTATCAACATCGCATGGGAACGATGTAATACGCAGCTGTAGTGGTCCATAAGACAGTTCGAAGAAAGTGCCGGCTAATGGCAACTTTGTATTGGCAGTGCTGTTGGTGGCTTTTTCTTTGGATGTAAAAAAAGTGGATATAGTTTCACTAGCGCGAAATCTCTTCCAGCTTATGACAAGGATAATAAATGAATTTTCTGGTTTTTTTTTTATGAAAAAAAAAAACTGTATTTGCAGAGTTTAAATGCAGTGGCGCCTCCTGTGACAGAGAATCGAAGCAGCCGACTGATCCAAGATAAGCTGGTAGCAGCGGGTGGTGGTGATGCAACAGAAAAGGGTTCAAAAGCTTCACTGAATCCGTTTGATGAAGACGATGATGCTGATAATGCAACCAATCCTTTTGGTGAAGCAGCTGAAGAGAAGGAACCGCATGCAGTGCCACGATCACCGGAAAAAGGTGATAAAAGCCAGGAGATGAACGGTGATCGAAAGGTACTGCTAATTTGTTGTGCCATGTATTCTTCCCTCTTTCCAGCGAATTGCTTTTTATGCGTTTTGTGATGTGTAACAGCAGTACAAAACACATATTGTTGTCTGTGTGTATGTCCACAACAACTTGTCTGCAACTTTCAACTCGGGAGCCACAAAAGCTAGGACGCTGAAAATTTAGGGGAACTTTCTCCACCCACGTGTGACCCCGCAAATTTAAATTCAGCTTCCCCGTACCCGCGGGTAACACGTATGAGAGCTTTTTACGGGTAAATTAATATCTCAGGAACCACGGAGTCTACAAGGCTGAAATTTTAGGTTGATGACTCCCCGTCTACGCTCAACCTTGCCCATTCAAATTTAGCGTTCCCGCGCTCTTGGATATCACCTATGGGCTAGTGAAGTTTTCACGGGTAAATTATTATCTCGGAAACCACGGGGTCTAGGGAGCTGAAATTTTAGGGTAATGGCCCCCTGCCCAAGCTCAACCTTGCCTGTTCAAATTCGGCGTTCCCGCGCTCTTGAATATCACTTACGGCCTCGTGAAAATTTTGGCGGTTAAACTATTAACTCGGGAATCACGGAAAGATATCCACCCTTCAAGATCTCGAATTCAGCTTTATTGCGCTGGTGCATGAAATTTTGAACTGTTTCCATTGTTTGAACAATTTTTGCATAGGCTAAAATACAAAGCAGTGAAAATCATTAATAGGCAATCGTTCGATGGGCTGGATTGCACAAAACGCATGATCGCACCGGCTAGTCTGGTGCGCGTTGCTTTTATTCCGGGTTGTAGTGGTAAGTAACGGCCATTAAAAAGCCGAATCATAAGTGGACGGTCCAAATGGAGCGGCCGAAGTGGGTTAAACTGATAAATAATTTGCGGCTTCTGGTAGGCCGGACCATAACTTCTGAAGTAAACAGCCAGTCTGAACCGTGGAAAATATGGCACGGCCGTAACCTATAAATTTGAATGCAGAGTGGAATTAATGAATGAATTATGATGGGAACAGTAGTAGGACTGTTAATGTGGTACAAACCATGTGACATGTTGAAAAGTCATGTAAAGAGGAATATGCAGAAGTTGGCCTGCCCTGTGTCTCGTCCCTTAGCTATAAATACAGACAATATAAGATGAGGTTAACTTCTGTAGATACCTTGATCAACTTTTTTTTATCATAGAGTGCAATTACACTGCCGTTAAAAGTGGTGCTATTTTGCAAGACTTGTTGAAGTAGAAACTGCACTATTTGTTGGTTAACTTATTGGTGGAAGAACTTGAAGCTTTTCTTTTTTTTTCGTTGTTTTCTTCCAATCAGAAATGGTAAATTTACCGCATCTGTATCGGTTATGTCCTCCTTCCTATAGGAACGGCTATCGTTGATTAGAGAGGTGTAGCAAGAGAGTTTACCATGCAGGAATTTTTAAGAAAATCAGGTGTTTTTCATGGAAATTAGTGTAATTCGGAGAGAATCGATTCTCTCGCCTTTGAAATCCGAATATGATATTCAAAATCACCGCAACACCGACTCTTATACCGCAAGAACAACTTAGAAAAGCCTTCGCTGTGTATTTCTCTTTAAGGCCAGCATGCACCTTTTTTTCATATCTGCCTTTCTTAGGCAATAAACACTTTTTGTGATGGCTTCTTCTTGGCCGGCTTTTCGCAAGTTTCTCTGTGATAGCAGTTTCCAAGCACAGACAATTTTTGACTCACACAAAAAAAAATCATTGCATATTACTACTACTAAACGAAAATAAACATGTCAGTTGGCGCTATCCCATGTATTTTTCTTTTACCAAGGACCCATGTATCTTTTTTTTTTGTATGACTTAATGGACCGAAACGTCTTATCTCATTCTTGCCCTCCTTTCCTCATTCTTTCCTGCGTTTTGTATCCAATACGCCTTTGATACTTTGACATTCAAGGTCAGCCTGGATGCTACAATCGGCTTACCAAATTTGAGCTTGTCAGCCACAGCCGATGCTTAATTTGCCAGGATTTTTGTTTTAACTCATTTTATTACGTTTGGGGGTAGGTACATTTGTTTTTTTTTTTGTTTTTACTTTCCCGCACTACTACTAGTTGTTTTTTCGAAAATTTTTTTGTTTCAGATTTTGTACAAAGTTCGAGCAACTCATCGTTATACGGCTGAAGACACGGATGAGCTTACTTTTGATGCCGGTGAAGTGATCACAGTGTTGGAATCACGCGAAGAGGACCTTCTCGATGACGGCTGGTTGCTTGGAGTGAAGCAATCCGATGGAGTTCGTGGAGTGTTCCCAGCAAACTTCACAAAATCGCTATAAATATTTTTGTTTTAGGATCTCATTATTGTTCTGAATTATGTCTCTGAGATAACGCACTTCATTAGAAGATACCATGAATTTT